ACTATTTCGGCTTGGGGGCGGGCACTGATGGATACAGTAAGGCTGTGCCAAGGCCACCTTGTGAAAACCAGTAAGTTCCTGGGACCAAAGTCGCTCGTTTGCACCATTTCGCGGCAGAATTTACAGGTCTCACCAAAATGAAATCAGACTGTTTGACACGAACTTATTCGAATCAACTAGAAGTGTATATGCCCTTACCAGTAGATGTGGGAAGCAGAAGGGAGATAGTGAAGTGGCAAGGGCGCCGCTGCGAGCTGCATCTTCAGTGGATCAAATCTCATATTTCCAGTTTGTTGTCGACCTTTCGGAGCCGGATTATGCTCGCTGGGATGAGCGGGAGGGCACGTCTATAATGTGGACCCCCAGCGAAGGGTTCGTACCAGCGGAGAGAATTCTAAGAGGAGAGCGTCGTATTTTGGAAGTCTTTTCCCGGCGATAGGATGTGCCGTGATCAGCGGAGATAGAGAACAACCTCACCGGATTTCTTACTTTTTTTTGCTCAGAACGGGAGACGAATCAACAAGCAAATCCATTGGTTCCTTGACTCCGCCCACATGGTCGTCGCGGAATGTACCTTTGATATCGTCTCTTTCTCACAACTCTTTGCAAATGCTAGAAAGCCCAGGGTTCTGACTGGATGTAGATCTTGCGAAGTATGCAGACGTGAACAAAGTACCTTTCGGCACATCACTCACCTTTTCCTGTGAGATTCAATTAGTGCAAATACTTCTCTGATACGGAAGAGATCGGCAGAATTTATGACTTTGGGCTTTTAAAGGTGGAATTGGTCCTTCCAATTAGCTTTATTCTCATTCTTCTGGAATGACGTCTCGGTCCCTTAGAAATGCTATTTAGTTTGACTCTTACGCTCAAGGCGCACCACTGTTGCAAAATTTGCCCTCTCCAAAGGGTTCAGTGAGCGTTCGCTGCTTTCTCGACAGCTGTCGAGAAAAGAATCGTATTGTCTTGGAGTCACAAGCCAGATGTTACATCATAGTAGCTTTGGGGAGTAGTCTTCTATTGACGCTTAGGAGGTACAAAGGTCATCGAGATAATAAGTCGCAACCGGTAATCGTTGTTTACGGAGATGTCAGCCGTGAAGATACTACACTCATCACCCAGCTTATCGTTTTGAACGGGTCATGTGAATCAGCTGAAAAATTAAGGTTTAAATTGTTCTGGAGTCTCTGAGATAAACCCGTGATTGATCTACGGAGTTAGCAGCTGGGCCCATAACCCGATGGGTTAAATCGTCTGTGCTGAAACGCGCTATACATGGGTGATGAGCCTATAGTTAAGATATGGGTTCAACTGCAAAAGCTTTCGCCTAAGGCCATCTGGTTTTAAGGTCTTTTCTGGGGAGTAGACTCGCTACCTATGCCAAGTGGACTCGCTATGTACCCATGCCAAGTGTCTCGGGTAGCCCGATGGACACTTTTCGGCTTGGGGGGACACTGATGGTACCCAGCTAAGCTTGCACAAGCCACCTTGTGAAAACCAGTAGGTTCCTGGGACCAAAGTCGCTCGTTTGCACCATTTCGCGGCAGAATTTACAGGTCTCACCAAAATGAAATCAGACCTGTTTGACACGAACTAATCGAATCAACTCAGAAGTTTATAATGCCCCTCCAAGTCGAAAAGCGCCATGTTCCTTGGACTTTTTTGTCTAGTCTGTATAATATAATTACGTGCTCAACGATCATCGTTCCATAAACCCGTTTCCGAGAAAAAGCGCCACATTGCCGATCAATTAAGCTCGCCAATCAATTTACTCGATTCCATTGTAGCGGTTTTTCTTTCTCTCAGACATTCTAGGGAAATAATTGGTTTTGATGTGGGAGGAAGCCTCCAAGCCGGCAGGACCCTTCAATTTTAACATTTTACTTTCATCCAGTGCCAGTTTTACCATAGTGCTTTATAAGGTGCTATTTTGCGAGCCTAATGCAAGAGAATGACCCAGGTGGCCTCAAAAAGCTGGGGATATGAATTGAAATATTCGCGAAATTAACGAATTACCTTGGTGACAACCAATTACACCCTTTCTCCACTGTTCTTCTACTTGAACCCTGTCTGTAAATAGCGCTTAAGATAGGTACGTGCTGATGACAGCTACTTACAGTACCCGGGAGAAATCAGTTTGACGCCAAGATGGCTGGTTAGTGGCTTGTGTTGAAGTGTGTACCAAGCTGAGTTGTACACAAAGTGGAGCGGCTAATCGCCACCGCAGCGTTTGAGTGCAGCGGCTCGTGGGAATCATGTGAATGGGAGTTTGTTTAAATTGTTCGGGGGCTCATTTGTTCCCCCTCCGGCTGCCATGAGTCACGCGTGTGAAATTACGCTATATCATTCAGCTCTTTTTACTCTCGTACTGAGTCTAAAAATAGGATGAATTCGCTTTCCGTCCCTGGCACGTATTTAGGTGCCAGGGCGGTGGGCTGTCGTCTGATTAGCGATATCAGCACCCGAACTCTGGTCCTTTTCCCTTTGCCCTATCGTTCACTGATGTCTTATCTTAAGCTTTCTTCTCCTGCTCTGTTGGTAGCAAGACTTTTGGGCTGAATTAACACCACACAATGACAAGGATCAGTGCATTCTTTTCTCTTGGGGTTTATATATTAATGTCTTGTTCAGAGAACAAACAGCGATCTAAGCCAAGAGAAAGTTTGACTCTGGGAATTCTCTGCGGCCCTATCTGGGTATACCTGGGAAGCAGTCAATCGCTTGTAGAGCTATTCGCTAAACTTTCTTTTCAGTGAACGTGATCCAGTTGTTAACTTTTCTCCGTTTTCGCTACTTGCTCATCCCCTCCCCCTCCTCCTCCCTTAGTTGCCGACGTCTCAGGACTACCGCACCAACTCCTGTTTCTGGCAGTTGAGATGAATATTTGGTCAGTAACGACCCCCACCCCTTCCCCCCCCCCCTCCACGAGGGTCTACGAGTTTTTTTTTTCCGGAGAAGACTTATTAGGTCAT